ATGATGAATGATGGTAATTAGAGGACTACTTTGACTAAAACCGCCACATTAAACGCCTTATTTAACATTTTCAGACTGATTCATGTCGAATTAAATTATTTGTTTACATTTTTAAGCCTCTGTTTTACTTGTATGTTAAGTTAAAATCTGTAAAAAGACACTTGAAGGTTTTTACCATCATAAACTGTCATTTAAATGCACATAAAACCGATTTTTAAACTACTTTGGGAATGATGAATGATGTTAATTGGAGGACTACTTTGACTAAAGCCGCCACATTAAACGCCTTATTTAACATTTTCAGACTGATTAATGTCGAATTAAATTATTCGTTTACATTTCTGAGCCTCTGTTTTACTTGCATGTTAAGTAAAAGTCTGTAAAAAGACACCTGCAGGTTTTCTTACATCATAAACTCATTTAAATGCACATAAAAGGGATTTTAAAATTATTTTGGGAATGATGAATGATGGTTATTAGAGGACTACTTTGACTAAAACTGCCACATTAAACGCCTTATTTAACATTTTCAGACTGATTCATGTTGAATTAAATTATTTGTTTACATTTTTGAGCCTCTGTTTTACTTGCATGTTAAGTTAAAGTCTGTAAAAACACACTTGCAGGCTCTTTTTCATCATAAACTGTCATTTAAATGCACATAAAACTGATTATTAAACTAATTTCTGAATGGTGAATGATGGTAATTAGAGGACTACTTTGACTAAAACCGCCACATTAAACGCCTTATTTAACATTTTCAGACTGATTCATGTCGAATTAAATTATTTGTTTACATTTTTAAGCCTCTGTTTTACTTGTATGTTAAGTTAAAATCTGTAAAAAGACACTTGAAGGTTTTTACCATCATAAACTGTCATTTAAATGCACATAAAACCGATTTTTAAACTACTTTGTGAATGATGAATGATGTTAATTGGAGGACTACTTTGAATAAAGCTACCACATTAAACGCCTTATTTAATTTCTAACATTTTCAGACTGATTAATGTTGAATTAAATTATTTGTTTACATTTATAAGCCTCTGTTTTACTTGCATATTAAGTTAAAGTCTGTAAAAAGACACTTGCAGTTTTTCTTACATCATAAACTCATTTAAATGCACATAAAAGGGATTTTTAAACTATTTTGGGAATGATGAATGATGGCAATTAGAGGACTACTTTGACTAAAGCTGCTACATTAAACGCCTTATTTAACATTTTCAGACTGATTCATGTCGAATTAAATTATTTGTTTACATTTATAAGCCTCTGTTTTACTTGTATGTTAAGTTAAAATCTGTGAAAAGACACTTTCAGGTTTTTTTTCCATCATAAACTGTCATTTAAATGCACATAAAACGGGTTTTTAAACTACTTTGTGAATGATGAATGATGGTAATTAGAGGGCTACTTTGAATAAAGCTGCCACATTAAACGCCTTATTTAATTCAAATAAACATCTCCAGACTGATTAATGTTAAATTAAATTATTTGTTTACATTTCAAAGCCTCTGTTTTACTTGCATATTAAGTAAAAGTCTGTAAAAAGACACCCTGCAGGTTTTCTTACATCGTAAACTGTCATTTAAATGCACATAAAAGGGATTTTTTAACTATTTTGGGAATGATTAATGATGGTTGTTATTCAAAATATTTTTTAAAATATTAATTATCATTAAATGTAAATTAATGTGAGGCTCAAAAAAATATTATGGAATTTTGTGTTAAACGCTTTAACTCTTGATTCAGTGACATGAAGCTCATTCATACATAACGGATGTGACGTAACCAGAAGGCCTGCATCATGTGGCCGTTTAAGGTATTCACCCTCACGTCCCGATTGGGTAAAAGGTGTCGGTTTTACGTAGCTCAAATGTCATCAAAACATTAGTTATCTAATAAGAATGTTTATTTAGACGTCGTATATTGTTGATATATAAGTGTTAAGAAAATTTTGGAGATAATATTAGATGTATTTTTGTTTTTATGTTAATTTGAAACGGTTAAGCTCCGCCGGCGGCTCGTGCCGGGATAGTCATCGCGCGCTTCCAATGAGTCACTCCGTTAGCGGCGTGACTCCGGAGGGCGATTTTGACCCGGTGGGTGGGATTTTTTGAGAGGCGTTGCCCGCAAACCGACTCCAGAGCCTTATCCACCCGTTCGGGCTCACACATTTCCATACGTTGCGCACTTCGCCGGCGACTTTACACCGATTTTCTCCCCCCTAAAAAGGCAGATATAGACGGTTCCGCGTAGCTATGGCGGACTACATCCACGTCCCGGACGAGGCTCCCGCGGTGCCCAAAATAGACGTGACCATGGACGAGAAAGACTACAGAAGCGGAGCCCTGCAGCTCATGAAGGAGCTGAGACCCAACTGGAAGCCGGCCGAGATCAAATTGAAGGTAAACTACACCCCATTT